AATTGAGTCTAAACACGGACATTTGTAATTTAGTCTAGAGAGCGTGAAAGTGATTTCCAAAACAACAACAAACTCATATTGTGTCGGTTAAAATCAAATGAACACTCGCCTTTTTAAAGAAATGCAAGCTCTTTAATTCCACTGCGTAGTTCTCCATTCACTTGACAACGATAAGAGAGCAATATAATGTGCAAAATTCAGTAAAAGCTTCTTCGCATCGACCTTCGCACGTTGCTGAAATTAAAACTTCTTCGCTTGGGCAGCGCAGGCCTGGCGGCAAAGTCATTTGATATTTTGACCGTGGGCAAGATTGGAAAATCTTGCCCGCTCTCGGAACCAATCAGATTGCAGGATTCGAGAGTTCCGCCCGCTCGCGCTCTCAGAAAAAAAATAAATAGATGTTATTGAACTAGCGTGAGGTCCGTATTGGGAAAATATTGGTCGAGTTCTTTTTTTGCAAGTTTATGGACCGAGCCGAAGGCGAGGTCCATAAACTTGCAAAAAAAGAACGAGACCAATATTTCCCAATACGGACTGAGCAAGCTAGTTCAATAAAGTTTTTATTATAATGGCTTTTTTAAAAACTTGCTGATAAATTAATGCAACCATTCTCGGCTAACGCGCGCGCGCCAAAGCTAAGCATAGTCTTGCATTTTTCAGGCCACTTTGCGAAAAGTTTAACCGAAATTGTCCGCCAGACACGAGGAAACATGTTTCTACTTAATAGAAAACAATTTTGCAAAATACGGTCCGTATGACCAAAATATCGGTCCGTATTGCAAAATACGGACCGCTCAGGGAACCAATCAGAATGTTCCTTTTCGTCGTGGACCAGTTTGCCATATAATAAATATTCTTATAAAACAAAAAGAGTGTACCACATGAAAGTACAGTTCAACAGTTTTCATTTGAATGGTCGCCGTTATAGGGTTTCGTCCACAGACATCCTTGTTGTTGAACAAGGTTCAGTTTGCAAATTAATTGTAACATATAACATTTTCCTTTTCACAGTAAGGAAAACAGTTGTGCTGTGGAAATTTCTCGAGGAGCTTCTCGACACAAACGAAAACAACTGCGTTGTTTGGGTTTCAAGAGAAGAAGGAACTTTTAAATTCGTCGACTCCAAGTTGGCCGCCAAACTGTGGGGCCAAAAGAAGAATAAACGTAACATGACGTACGAGAAGCTAAGCCGAGCACTGCGATACTACTACGACCGACAAATTATGTTCCACGAGGAGGGACAAAAGCTCATCTACAGGTTTGGCGATATCGTTATGAAAAATAGAAAACCAAGCGTTGCTGAAGCTTCTTAAAGAAGTTCCGTAAAGGCTATTGACCAATCAGCTAGCATCTGGACGGTCACGTGATCACTTTTTGAACTTGATTCACACACATTGATCAATAACTGTTATAAGTTATTGACTGATTGACGTGCATAGAAATGGTTTACTTTTTGTTGACCTACATATTCTTTGTAATGCATGGGAGTAACTAAGGGTAACGAATTCGAGCGGTTTTCAATTGAGTGTCGTAAAACCGCCAAAACCAAACCAATCATAGTGGCCAATCTTAACAAACGAAAACAACAAAACGAACCAATGAGAACTCGAAGCAAATACACGTAACCGGCGCTAAGCGCGGGAAAAGCGTGCGACCAAGTCGCGATTGGTTTTGGTTAGCATCTGATTGGTTGAGAAGGTGGCGCGAGTTTTTAAACCTATCATGGAACACAGTTAAGTAAAAGCAAAGCAATTTCGGATTAGTTTCGACACTCGAATGAAAACCACTATACTCTAAACAGAATTGATTCAATAAATACAAAGAATCGGGGTCTATATCCAATCAAATCCAAGCTTGGCTTATAGATAACACTTTATAACATGAACATTTGAGCCAACATTAACACGTCTCAGAATGAAAGCCAATTTTTAGGATCATTTTCTAGATAAGATTTTAGAACTTTCAGGATGACTTCTGATTCAGAACACCAATTAGATACAAAGAAGTACGGTCATCATCATATCCTTCTCCCCGTGTCCGTCGGGGAAACAAGTGCCGCCAGTTGATGACGAAATCCCGCCTCCGAGACGGGACTGAGCCCGCGGTTTTCGTCCCCGAAGTTGCTATGCAACATGACGTATTTTCTGGCGCGATTGCTTTCGGAGTACTCGTGAGTGCTCGCGCGCTGTTTCTTGATTGGATAAAATGATTCGGAAACTCTACGGGTGCTTCAACGAAGATTTTCCAAAATGGCAGTTGTTCTCCCAACTGGTGGGGGAATAGGGCGGGGAAAAAGAAAGAAAACAAAAAAGAATTACTATACTTAATTCAAAGTAAATTTCTGTGTATTTTTGTAATTATTTTCATAATTAAAACAATCACCTTCAAAACAGACAATACAATACACTCGGAGAAACCAGACACGTGGTCTTCGTGAGACGGTTGCTTAGCAACGTAACACGACGTAATTCCTCGTGACTGCGTGGATCAGTCTGATTACAGGGAGCCCAGACAAACTGTTTGACTGTGAGCTATTTTGCATTTTTATAGCGAATGTATGGGATTTACTGAATGGTTCGTAGAATTGTGAATAGCCTGTTTTCATCTGACGTCATCAAAATTCTAAAATCTAAACTGTTAATCCTACAAAGCTATTCTTTTTATATCTTCTAGACATGGAAATCATTAATCTCTATGCAAAGTTTGGTATCGATCCAGTGATTATTTTTGGAAATAAAGCTATTTGAAACGGATATTTTTATATCATTTTAAATTTTCAGACGTGATAATAATTTAGAAGTTGATGTCTAAACAGATTTGAAGTGAAAGCTAATGATATTGCCGGTAGAATCTACTCTACTTCTTGTGCAATTTTATGGCGGCCATATTTGTGCCCCTCCGAAGGACACAAACATGGCGGCGGCATACTAAGTACTGTAATTTTCTGAAAATTAGTTTGGCAATAACTCGCTATAAGCTATAATTTGGACAAACGTTTCTTTCTCCAGTCCTTTACCTGTTATTTCTGATCAGTTGTTCAAGCAAGCAAACAGTTTTTGTAATGTTGATGAACCAATAGTCAATAGTTAATTTACGTTTACTGAGCAGGTATTTGTTCATAGTTTACGTGAATATTCACAATTCTACGAACCATTCAGTAAATCCCATACATTCACTATAAAAAACCTGACAGTCAAACAGTTTGTTTGGGGTTCCTGTGGTTTGATCGGATAATCATCATCATCGTTAATCAATTTAGCAACATGGTGTCAAGACACCAATAGTGCAAGAATAAAACTCGGAAACTCTCCATCAGGAATACCAAGTTAAGTATGTTTTGAACTCATTTAATTAAATGAAGTTAAACTATTAAAATCAACTGATTCTGATAAGATTTTAAGTGATACTATTTTCGGTACCTTGATTAATCTAAGTCCCCATCCACACTGATGCGTTTTCGTTTGAAAACGCATACTTTTCGATGCGTTTTCGCCTGTCGTCCACCGCTATAACGATCGAAAATGCTGATCGTTTAATCGAAAACGCATACATTTGAAAACGATATCCAGAGTGGAAACATTTGAAAACAGAGCCCTATCGTATTTATAGAGTGGACAGCGAAAACGCTGGAGGCTTTCAAAAACGCTGACGTCATTCACATCGCTGGCGACACAGCGGCAAAATGAGTGCGCGTGCGCCAACTGCTCGCTCATTTCCATACAAACATAATGGCGGCAATTCAAAATTCCGGTATTTGTTTTCATTTCGCGTGGATAAGGCCGTCACGGAACAGATACGGTTTCTACCTTGAAAACCATTCCGAGAGCTAGAGAGACTCTTCTTTCATATATATTTTTTAGCAAACTAATTATCTTTGCAACAATAGTGAATTTTTCGCTCGAAGTCGAGCGATCGTAAGTGAAACATGAATTATTTGTGCTATGTTTCCGTCATTCTCGTCCCCAGGGGACGTCGTAGCGCAAATAGCAGAGCATGCGCACTCATTTTGCCACTGTGTCATCGCTGGCGCGTCTATTTGTCGCATGCGCAGATGACTGTTGTAGCGTTTTAGAGCGTTTTAGTGTTGTCGGGAAAACGCTGCGAAAACGATAGTGTGGACGAGGAGCTTTTGATGCCTTTTTGGTATAATACTTCAATATGGGATAGTTTTTATTCCATGTAACAGATATGATTCTGTGATAACTCGACTGCAGTGCAGTTCTATTTTGAGTGTGTTGTGTATCGACCTAACACGCAGGGCGTGATAGATTGAACTTTTTTTACCAGTCGGAATGATTTTATAATTGTTAAAGCATTTGTAAGTTTTTAAGATAATAAATTTTGCGAATGTACTTGTCTTACTTCGTTGGTGATTTATTAAAGACTAAAATATTTTCTTTACCGTGTGGTACTAAATTTTTGCGGCGATTTTGCGGGTTTTTTCAGGATCCGCAAAAAAAATTCCGCCAAAAATATTCCCGAAAATTTTTCCGCAAAAATCAACTCCACTTGTGCAACTGAAAAAATAATAAACGTTCTAGTCGTTACTTTGAGCATTATCATAGAACCACAACAGACATTCAGAACACTGATATGTGACTTTAAATAGACTGAAAATTTCGCGCGCTCTGATTGTTAAAACCATGTTTTATCAGAGTATAAATCATAGAAAAGCGTGTTTTATCGTTCGCGCGTAAATCTATATTTTAAAGCACATAAAGAAGCCAAAACCATGTATTATACTGTCATAAAACACTCCGAGAATTTGAGAACACTCGAGAAATATAGAAAACACTCGCCTGCGGCTCGTGTTTTCTAAATTTCTCTCGTGTTCTCAAATTCCCGTCGTGTTTTATGACAGTATAATACATGGTTTTGGCTTCTTTATTTGTTAAATAATAGACTAATAATTAAACCCTGATTAACTAAGTAAGTGTACTGTATGTTGAGAACGATATTATTCTGTCAGTAACACAAGCTACTCGGAAAACAATTTTGAGTTCCCCCAACCGTAGGTGTCGAACCTATGACCTTCCGCACACCGGTCGGACGCTCTACCACTGAGCTACAGGAGACTCGTGGGAGCTAAAGTCATATAAGGCCATAAGGCCATGTACTATAATGTTGCTTTCCTGTATTTCGCCGGATTACATGTATCAAAAGTCAACAATTTTATGGTCTTTATAATTACGTTGTATTACGAACATGTAATTCCAATTGTAAGTTACTTGTTGAAAATTTCCTGCAAGGAAAAACCAGTCTGATCCCACACGGAAAACAAAAAATCGCCATTCCGAAAAATTAAGCTCCCGCAACAATTTAGTGCCACACTATTGTGCCACAAAAGGTTTTAATACAGGTCAACGAAAATCATCTCCACCCGATCGCGACAAGCTACAATTCTCGTCATACTGAGTCTTGGGACACATCACATTTTCGACGACAAATGGTCGTTGTCTTCACCTCCTCCTCCCCACCCTCGATGCAGTGTTGCCTTTTATTTCTCCAATCTTGCGACCATATTTCAACATTGTTTTGGGGGGCAGGGGGTAATTCGAAAAATTGAATACTGACTTCTCACTTCAAACAACATTGCCACTGGGTAGAATTGTATATACCGTCTATATATGATAGCTTAAATTGGACAGAATTCTGTTCAGGTCTGTTCAGAAAATGACGGAGATTTGCTGGCCAGAAATGTTCACAATCACGGAACCACGTCATTGTCAAAACGGGCACCATGACATGCAAGTGGGTCACCAGTTCGACCAAAAGGACCTTAGCTTCTACAACGTTATTGAGATCGACCATCGATCGCTGGCCCTTAAATTCTTGTACTTCAACCAAGAATACAAAGAACTGACCTTGTAAAGATCGATGTTTAGGCTTTTGAGAGATTTATAGGCAACACATTCTGTGCGGCAAACGGAAAATGGCAGCTTGCAGTTGAATTCTCTTTACTTTTCCCGAAATAAATCCATTACTGAGAAAAATCGAAAATAATTCACACGTTCGCGACAAACTAGAAACTACTCACTTTCACGTGTAAGCGTCTATAAAAGCAGACGATGACAAAAGTGGGACTTTTCAGTCGAATGTCTTTGTCTTGGAGAAACCGAATTAAAGATTCACATGTCGGCTAGCATATCATAGTAACTATAGAATTCAGTCAGTTAATCGGCTCAGTAACTGAACTGGTGATAAAAGTGTTTTTTTTCGAGCAAAATAACAAGCCATTCATTGTGTATTGGGAGACTTATTATCTCCGCCACAAATCCGTACATATTCACAACTCGGACATGCGCACATCCTGGCGTTCACGATACCGAAACACCCCTCGCGAAATAAATAACAAGTGAAGTGTCAAAAGTCTAAAATAGCCAGCCTGCTAGCTCACGCGGGCAGAAATGCTGCACAAAGGCAGACAAGGCGGGTAGCATCACAGAACTAAGAAAATAAAACGACTCTCTTTTCTATATCGTCTCTAAATTTCAATCAATGTACAAATCAGACCAAATGGACCTGACAAACTTATAAAAGGTCTCTTTAAAATATGTCCTAATTATAACACGAGGCCTTTCATCAAGTCCGCGGCCCCGCTGCCCCGCCCGAGGGTAACTGTCGCAAGTGTGTGGGAGTAATTTTTCCGGAAGAGAACACGGCAGAATTACAAGGAAATTAATTATTTGCAATTGAGATAACTTCCCATATCATTTGCTACTCTGCTTCTTCCATACACTCTAGACAGTCGACCCAATAATGACGAATTTCCGTTCATTTGGCCGATGAATTCTACTGCTGTTTTCCCGTCCGAACGTCAAGTAAGAGCGGGCACCCAACGGATCGTTTCGGTGGAATATCTGTTCGGAAGGCCTATAATCACCTCAGATATTCGCCAAAATGTCTTCACGAACTTTCTTAATATGGGAAAATTAATGCCTTTTGTTTTCGGAGATAAAAATGTCGTTTTGGGTACAAAAATAGGTCAGCTGGGATTTTCGGAAAGGCAATTCAGCTAATAAATTCGGGTAATAAGATTTCAATCCCTAAAATGTTCTGAAGTTTAAAAGTTCAGCTAACGTATCCGAACAGATACATTTTTCTTAGCGTTTAAAAATAAGCCATTAAACTGCACAAAAAGCACAGTTATAACGTAAAAACGACGTTCCGACACCTACAGGAAAATTTTGTCGTTGGGTGCCCCTGAGTAAGTAGATTCAGGCTTTCGTAATGACGAAAACAATCGATCAATTCCGACCCATTTCGGCAGCGCTGATGTATCACCGCCGATATACTGTTTATGCGTCTGTGACCAATCACATTTGACCACGGGGAGTAGTCCTGATTTCGCTCTCATTGAAGAAATCTGCACTTGAAGAAAGTAACTTATTTTTACTGAACCTTTGAATGCAAGAGGTCCACACAACGCGAAAATAAAACACACTGGTTGGTTTTTGCCGGATCTCACTGTTGAGATGCTCGAGCCAGACGTCACTTGAAGTGTAATAGAACGAAACTGGCAAAGGGCTGATTATGTAACGGCCACAGGCTCCTCAGTGACGGCCAATATTTCGGCTAACAAAATTAGTTCCTCAGGGCCACTGGCCATAGTGAAGAAAGCTAATTGCCAAATATATCCGTGGACGAACTAAATGTAGACTGTTCACAGCTTCTCTATTTTCTCAGAACGTTGTAGCCGCGAGCGAACCGAATGCCACAAATTGAACAGAGAATGGCGCCGATAAATTGTACAGAATTAAATTGTAAGACTCTCTCCGAAGAAAATGCCTCAAGTCGCTCGCCCGATTATCAAAGCAGAGCTCCCTTCCCTCCCCCTAGGACCAAACGGACGATTCTCTAGGGAGGTCTGCAAATAACTCCCACGCACTATGGGCTTGAAAAAAGTGGGACAGACCTATATATGGTTTTAATTCTAGCGCAACGACGCGCTACCACGAGGCCTTTGACTGATCAATATACATTTCTCGCCCCCACGACCCGTCCCCTCGCCCGAGGGGATCTGTCGACAGTGGGAGTAAAAACCCGGAAGAGAACACGACATAATTACGGTGTACGAGCAAATATATTTGCAGTCTAGACATTCGACTCTATAATGACGAATTTCCGTTTCTATTTTGTGGATAGGATGAATTCTACCCGCTGTTTTCCCGAACGTTGAGTCCTAACAAGATTTCTCACGGGAAAACGCCAAAAATGTATCTCAATTCCGACCGATTCCCCCAGTGCTGACGTAGAATTATAGCTAATTATTCACGGGGGAGGGGCACCGGCAATTGAATTATAAAGTTTTCCGCCCACTATCACGATATCAAAATGCGACCGTGACTGACCTTACTTGATGTGCCCGTACAGTATTCGCAGAACTGATTGCATCGCACTCAGGGCAAAACGAAGGCTGAAGTCAAGTGGTGGCGAAATCAAGAATGCCTGGAGGATGGGCATCGAAGAATTCAATAATATCTCCGGCTTAGACTATCTCGGAATTTTATTCCAGCAAAATTAGGGATCGGAAGCTCGCAGAAAGTGTAGTACGTCGGTAGAGCCGGGTCGATAGATTTCCGTGCGTTCAAAATAATATATGGTCAATAATGTCGCGGGCCCTGTTGAAGATAGCCTGCGTCGCAGACGAAGTCAACTGACCGTCGGTAGAGTCCGTACGGACTTTACCAGCGGTTGAGTCAGTGTTGAGTTCGTCTGTGACAGGCTATGTCGAATTTCCTTGAAAATAACGGCATTATCGAAGGCTGTCTATTAAAAAATAAATTTTTGATTTCTATCGTCTTCGATGATTTTCGCGTGACACTCCAGAAATGATCAATTTGCAATTTCTCATTTATCAAACACACAAGTTACGAGAATAATAAACGAGAAAAATCACCAAGTACTGTAACTAAAACATTGTCTTGATGTACCACTAAATTCTCTGAACTAACACATAAAGAAAACTATGGAATTCGCGATCGATCAGTAAGGAGAACTGATATTTCGAGCTTTGATGCGCAGCAGGTTACGAAGGCCCTTTTGCAAGTTTTCCTCTCAACCAATGTAAATCGAACGATTGGCGTTCGATCGCACATAATCGAATATTTAATTTTGTGTGAATTCGATTATCGAACCAATCGAACTAAATCGAACGCAATCGAACCGAATCCAGTTCGATTTTGTTCCGATTCGCAGGAACCATTTCATTATACGGCATAAACAGGAAAAATAAAAATAATAATAAATACAAAATGTCACTGCAAGGATTCGAATGAGAGTGTTCGATTGACAAGTTTTTCTTGTGAGTTCGACTATGTTCGATTACCGAACCCAATCGAACGATTGGTGTTTGATTGTGGATTACCCCGGGTTAACTCCGGGGGTTAACTACAGGTTTCAAAATACCGTCTAAAAAAACAGTAAAATTTTTAACAAGATTAACGTCCTCTTGGCTTGACGAATGTTTTATTTATAAAAACACCTTTCAATGCACCAGCTATTCTTTAATTTTAATGCTGTCTCGCTTTCTGCTTTCTCATCGTGACCTCGACACGAGAGCCATTGTTTTCCTTCACTCTTGCTTTGTTGACACTTTCCGTTCATATCATAAAGACAAGTGGTAATAACCGGAACAGGGCGTTGAATTCGTGTCGCAACCTGCTGCAGCATCACGAGATTTAAGCCAAGTTTATGAACCATATTTGGAAAGCCGGAGTGAACCCTTGTAACGCACGTGAGTGTTACTTTCGTGCCATTAAACATTTTTACTCAGTAATTCTCTATTTTAATTACAGCTCTATTGTTCTGAGCCGAAAGGGGAGTGTTGCTCCCAAACGGACGTAGCTAAAAAATATAATTGTTGTTCCCTGTTTTAGTTTCCAGTCGCGGAAGCCAATTGTCCATAAAAGGAATCTTGGCGGTCCCTGTAACCAGAAACTGTCCAATCGGACCACAAACTCATCGCCTATATTATTGCGTTAGTATAAATACCGTATACTGTTACAGTTTGGGGGCAGAGCCTTGGTAACTGCACAGCACGGCAGTTCATCAATTTACAAAAGCAGTCTTTCCT